ATAATTTATATATAATACTAAACAGACGATAGCAAACTCAATTTAGCCACTCCGTAGCGTGGCGCAGGGTCGGAGGTAAGTAGTTCGGCTGCTCATCCACTATTGGTCCAGACTCTATCAATCTTCTCGCGAAACAACATTATAGGAGGTAAGTTATACGAAAGTTTCTACAATTTTTTCGCTACGTTATAGGAATTGTCGTTATAGGAACGTACGTTATAGGGGGGGGTCGACTGTACTGAAGAGAGGCTAAAGCCTAAAATGCATTTACATTAAAAGTGATATTAAAATTTATTAGATGATATTCTAGTTTGTTTAGTTCTTGTCAGTCAGAAGAATTGTGGCTGTTCACATCAGGACTTGAAAAATAATTTTTTAGTTTTCTAAATTTACAATATATTTCTAGATTAATTAATATTATAACCAATCCATAATAGTGAGATTAACTTCTTAATTTAAGAACTGTATTTGTTCTAATCCTTTTTCTGTTTTTACATGATGATGATAATTATGTATCATCATCCAAAGTGCTTATAGCTATATTTGTTTTTTTAAATTTGATATTTTTTTAGTATTAAAAGAGATGAAATAAAGAAAGACAATTTTACTCCTATTGAATTATTTTGATGTGTGCTTTAATATATTTCATTTTAAAGTACTATTTAAGTAAAATATTAAAGTAAAAATGTAGTCATCAGTAATACAAGACTATTTTACAAATTAATTGTCTTCAAAAAATAAATGAAAGATACATGATCCAAGACACATTATGTAAATATGTATATTTTTATGTATTTTAAAAACTAATATAAAATTATGAGAAACTCAGAGACATGCTTAATCAACTCACAATTTTATGTTCTAGACTAGAATTTCCAAAAATGAACAAAATTTCAAAAACTTACATCAGGAACTGGTCTGTCAACTATTGTACGAAATAAATCCATCCACTGTGCAAACGTTTCCTTTGAAATCAAATCTAATGGTAAAAAATACTGAACTAATGCAAAAAAAATCTTTAATATTTGCTTTTGCAACAGAACTGAAGCTTCAGATACATCCACAAGAAGTTGTAGACAACGCTGATATATCATTGGCAATAACATGTGCATTGCTTCATTAAGAGGTCCTCTTTCTTCTGGTTTCTTATACCTAAAAATAAAATTTTATATCAATATGATCTATTTTTAAATTCTAATTTAAACTAATATCAAAGCAATTTTAAAAATACTGAGTTATTGAAAACTTATTTGTTGAATTCAGTTAATAGAACTTATGATAAATACACAAAGTGTTAAATATTTCAAATTTGAATTGATATTCCTATACGAATCTTTGAACAAGAATTATTCTAACTATAAATGAATTTAGAACACATGTTATTTCTAAAACACAAAATTAATTTTTGTTATGTATGTAATGTGTGTTAAATTTTACATCCTGTAAAATTTAATTTTACAACTTTATAATTCCTGAAGTTGAACATTTGATGATCCAAGATATTGGAATTAGTCTATATTTTGTTAACAAACTCTGATAAAGCAATTAAACTGGTTATTTATAATTAAATTAACTAGAGAATTAATTTTCATATTATAACTATGCTATTAAAGTTAAGTAATCAAATCACAAAATTAGGCTAGAATCTATTTTTCAAAATTATATTAAAAAATTTTGTTTAATCCAGCCTAGCATCTTTCACAAAGCAATTTTATTTCTTTTTCCTGTGTACAAAGTTCAAGATAAGCTCAAGTGTTCAACTCTTCTTTAGCCTGTAAACAATTGTAGTCAAAATTTTTGAAACTGATATAAACACCAAAGTTTTGAACAGTCTTTTATATTAAAATTTATAATTTTATTTAAGTAGGTGCAATTTGCTTTCTAATATGGAAGTGTATATGTATGTGTGAGTACATGCATTCTGACCTTACAAAGAAAATAAGTCCACCACAGAAAAGTTTTTTGAGATAAACTCTGAAAACAAATGAAGAAGAGGTACAAAGAATTCTATTAAATTTAACATCAAAAAGAACACCCTATACATCAGCAATTTTCCAGGAATCTAAAAATCTTGTATTTGTATGTATATGTATTAAATATTAAAATATAGCTAATTAAATTATATATATTGTATTGAGAAACACACATTTTTTTTATATTAAAGCCAAATGTATAAATCTGTAAAAAAATGGATTATAAGAATTTAGAAAAATCCCATTTATTTGTTTCTTGGTTGTATGTTTTTTGCGATTATAATCTAAAAATTGTCTACGCCTTATTTTCTCCATTATAAAACACTGCAATTACAAGTTTCTCATTTATAAAATTTCACACATATTGCATTATTTACTTTGAAATGGAAAATGTAAAGTGTTTATTAATTAAAGTGTGGCAGTTGCTTTCAGTTTCTTTAATAAATGTATGAGAACATATAACTAAGTAAGTAAGTTTATTTAGCTTAATGAAGTTATTATTGATCTATTGACTATTCCAAAATATTCATGTAAACATGAGAATATTAAGTTATTGATTTAAGTCACATCAAATCACTAAGATTCAAAGATATGGTAAGACCATTTTTTCAAAAAAATGTTATTAATATGTCTTAAATGTAATAAGGCATGTACAGTATTCTATTTAATATTTGTCTGTTTAGAGGAAATAAGACAATGGAAATGTAAGGATGCTCTATAATGTTAGTAGTTTCCGGATAAATCAAAGAAAAAGTATTAAAATATTCTATCATTTAGCATCATCTAATTTAGTAGAAAAACACCACCAAAATCTCACTTCAGTCCAGTGATAAAAATTCTTTAAATTGTTCAGAAACATTTTCAGATTCCTCTTGATTCCAGTTTAAGTTACAATAGCTCTACAAATGGAATGCTTCAAAAAACCATTTTAATGTTCTTTAACCTGAAGCTGAATTCAAGACTTCAAAACATTCACATCTTTCAAAAGATGTACATTTAATCAACCCACCAAAATCTTTTTTGGTAAATAGATTAAACTGTCCAGTATTGAAAGATACTATGGAACCATTTAATTATCCTCCTGGTTGGCATAAAAGGATTTGGGTGAGTAATCCAAAAAAATGTGTGACCATTTTAAAGAATTTTCATCACTGGAATAAAGTGAGGTTTTGTGGTATTTCTATTATATCAGTTTTAGTGGTAGAACCTTGATTCATCTAATTTAACTCATATTTATTTACAAAGATATTTGAAGAATATGTACCATACAATAACATACCACAGAAACTCAAAGAATGAAGAAAGCAACTGGTAAGTCTTACGTAACTATCCAGACAGATACATCAGTGTACTCAGCACTCGCTCAAAATTTCCATTAATGTCAAAATACTAATAATAATCACTTGCAATAATTCAGCAAATATTGCAAACCATTGTTTCTACAAAATATAGATCCCCTGTAAATTGCTTGTAAGGTAGTTTTTGTTAATCATTGAAGATAAGTCTGTCCAAAAGGGATCACCATTTATTTTGTATTCCAGACTTTACACATACACATCTATGGCGACAGGCCTTCCTTTTTAGGCTTCACGCCACCAGAGGTAAAAAAAGCGGTTTAAAAACACAAACATCCAATTAAAAGGAATCGGTGATACACAGACATCTTACTTTTCATCCATTTGGCCAATGGGGTGGTTCTGCTTTATATCTACTAAAACAAGCACTGGAATATGTAGATTTTTTGAAGCTGCCCCCTGGAGACGGTACATTTAAAATTTCTTTTTGTTGTTTTTTCCGTCCGATGGCAAGATTTTTATTAATCATTGAAGACAAGTCTGTCCAAAAGGGACCACCATTTATTTTGTATTCCAGATTTTACCCATACACATCTATGGCGACAGGCCTTCCTTTTTAGGCCAGCATTTCCATTGGCCAGATGGATGAAAAGTAAGATATCTGTGTATCACAGATTCCTTTTAATTGCATGTTTGTTTTTTAAACGGCTTTTTTTTTTACCTCTGGTGGCATGAAGCCTAAAAAGGAAGGCCTGTCACTATAGATGTATATGTGTAAAGTCTGGAATACAAAATAAATGGTGGTCCCTTTTGGGCAGACTTGTCTTCGATGATTAATAATAATCTTGCCATCAGATGGAAAAATCAACAAAAAGGTAGTTTTTGTGTTAAAATGTGTGCCTATATTTAACGACATTTCTTGTATTTTATAAATAATTTTAAAGTAATGTACATTATTATATTTGTATTATTCAATCAACACTTTTATTATTAATTATTATTTAATTTCTAACATTAAATCCCAAAAAATTATTATTATTGAAAATTATATTTATTTTACAATTGTAGATTTAAAATTTACTATTAAAATTCTAATTTTGATGTAATTTTATTGTGTATGTAATTATGTTTTCAAATTTTTTATAATATTTTTATATTTTACAGAGTTGAAAATATCACAAATTGCAATTAAAAATAATAACAAAGTTTACTGTAATTTCAATTTTAAGATAATTTATATTTAGAAGTTTTCCTTGATCTATTTATTAACAATGATCTATAGATAAAACAGCTGTTGGAATGTAAACATTATCTGTAATATAATTTCAATAAAAAGAAATTTTCAAAATTAAAATTTTTCTATTTTCTGAACATGTAATAATCAAATAATTAGTGCCTAATTGTTGATCTATCAAATTTAATACGTATTTTAAAAATGCATAAATATTTTCTGAAATACAATTTATTTTAGTCTATTCTTTCTTCAAAATTTATCATAAAGCAATTCTTCTTAAAAAATTTTATAATCAGGGATGTAACTACACAAGGCAGCAAGGGCCAGCATTTCCAACCCCTCATTCTGCTAGCCCCTACTGCTACTACAGTTTCATTTTGTATGTGTAAAGTAGATTATTAATCAAATCTAGTATATAAGTTTTGAAATGACAGTCTCAATTGTAAGTCTATAATAAATTGCTTTATTATACATAATAGAAAATTTTTAAAGCAATTAGATATATTTCAATTATTCAGATAATTTGATAAAGATTATTAAAGAGTATATCAGAATGTTTGGACAAATTTCACAGATTTAAACAAGAAAAAAACCTGAATAAAAAAAAGTCAAAAATCTTTTTTTTGACATGAAGATTAATTGGCAAGTTTATTAAGTGTCAGAGCCTAATTATGTCATTTCTGTTTTCAAGTCTATGTAATGTAATAGTAATTAAATTTGTTTACTAATCGTACTTTCTGTATTAATTAAATTGCTAATTTTTAATTATAGGTATCCCTTGTACAATACGTTGCTTTTACAACATGGTTTCACTCTAACAAGGTTCGTAAATTGGAGAAATCCCCACACAACACAGTTTCCGAGTTTGCTCTAAACACAGTTTTGGAAATCCTCCATACAAAATTTCAATTTTTTATGTGTAAACTCAGTTATTCGATATTTTTTTTATTGAAGCAAGCACTTGTGTTTTCTCAAATTTGCCCATGGATTTTAGAATATTGAAATTTTCAATTGGTCTTGTGGTTCAGTTCACATCAGGTTTACTTTAATAACTTATAGTGCAATTCTTTCTTCCTCATCCTAGCTTTCCTATCATTCAGGTATTGTCATTGCTTTCAGACTTTAGTCCTTAAGAATATCACTATGTTCTCTTTTTATAGATTAATCTTCATATTTAGTAAAGTTTATTTAAACATTTTTAGGTAAATGTTATTAAACTTTTTTTAACCGTAGGTATTACTTACCTACGAATGATTACTTCATTCATAAAAATGACGAACAAAATACAGTGGTATCTCATTATTTGAACAGTTCCCAACTCAAACAATTCAGTATTCAAACAAATTCTGAAAAAAAAAATCATTTGGTACTCAACTGAACAAATGTGACCCTTTAGAATAAAATTTTTATTAACAACACATTTTATTTTGTAATCCATAAAAAAAATTATAATAAAAATAAAAAAATGAAGGCAATGCTGATATTTCTGATCAAGACCAACAAAAAAAAAAAAAAAAAGCTCAAAAGATGACGATACTTTGTAAAAAGAAAACACCCTCGATTAACTAAAATCAATATCAACGAACAATACAGTACTTTCTAATAGTGATTGTTAGTTAATTATCAATTGAAAATAAATTATCCATTGCTTTCATAGACTACTACTCTCAAT